ATGGCTGCACATACATGCTTAAACACATCATTCTTTAATCTGGAGCAGAGCACATCCAACCAGGTAAGACAGGACGTGGAGAGCTGTTCTGATGGTCCCAGATGTCTCCCTGCTTCAAATGTACTTGAGAATTTCCTATAACCTTAAAATTGTTAGCAAAGCTACACACTTTATATGAGTCTGATTTGATTTGACCCTCCAATCCTTTTTATTATCTCTTTGTTATTTCAAGGGAAACTTACAGCTTGAGATAACTATATTAAACAAGAAAAAAGTCTGAAAATTTGTGATCTAAGTAACCAAATTTAAAACATGTGGGAGAGCAAACACAAAGAAAGTAGAAGGAAGAAAAGGAAGGTAATAACATTCCAAATTAATAAAATATAAAGCAAAATAACAACAAAAACCTAGAGATAATCAAAAAGTTTTGATCTTAGCAATTTGAAAAGTTTAACACAAATGAATTACCTCTGGCAAGACTGTCAAGACTAAACAGAGGAGAACCAGAAGAAACAAATACAATATTATGAGTGTAAAGAAGAAACAACTGCATATAGATATAAAAATAAAGACTATTATTAACAGTATTGTACCAATATATTTAATATTTAACCAAACAGATTTTTAAAAGAAAGAATTATAACTCACTAATCAATAGTGAATAGAAGATAATCATAAAACTTGAATAGTACTAAGGTCAATCAATATTTTGTGTCAATAATTATATCCCTCCAAATTAAGAGGTAATTTTAGCCAAATATTCCAGAAAAAATAATAAAAATATATTAACTTTTTTTGAAGAACAGAAAATAAAGAAGCACTCTATAATTCAATCTTGAAGTTATAAAACCCTTATTACCAAAACAAGACAAGAAATGTTCAGAAAACATAGGGGCCAATGTTACTGAATAAGAAAGACGCAAAAATCCTAAACAAATGATTATGAAAAAAGATCTAGAAATATATTAAATTACAATAAAATTTAAAAAATTGTTTGTCCCAGGAATGAAGTTTGTTTAAAAATTTTAAACCCATGTACGCAAGTCATTAAATTTAAAGATTAAAGGAAAAAAAAGTCCAGAAAAATGTTAGTAGATGTAGAAAAAGCATTAATAAAATTCACGACAGGTTCACAATTTATAGAAAATTATAAAGAACGTTCTTTACAAACCATAAAAACTCATATTTAATGACAAAACATTAGCAGTCTCACTTTAAAAATCATGAATAGGAAGATGCGTGCACATTTTAGTCACCTTCATTCAACAGGGTGCACACACAAAAAAATCAGCCTAGTGATAGAGAAGGAAACGAAAAACAATTACATTGAGAAGAAAGTAAAAATTAAAACTTATTATTTTCAAATGATTTAACAAACATTAGTGAACTAATAGGAGAGTTAAACTTGTTATATGAAATAAAATATATAGAATTGTATATGTATTATATTAATATTTATATGTAATATATAAAATTAAATGCGATTTGGAACAGATGAGTGAACACCAGGTTCTATTCTTTAAGCCAAATTATAAGTGCACAAATATATAATTTTATCAATATTCTTTAAACTTTACATGTATTTTTCAGATATTTTTACACATGCAAAGTATTTTCTATTTTAAAATATCAAAATACTATTCTGTAAAAAAAATCACTCTCTGCCTGTTATACAGAACACATGTTATGGAAAAGATACATCAGGAAAACCTTAATAAATAAATGCACTATCAGTATTTCGATACAAATAAATGTGATGCTGCCATGAAATGCAGTTTTATATTTAGAGAAAATACTGCCTGCAAAGCCAAAAATTATAGTTTGTTAAAAGGTCCTGTTAACGGTAATAAAAATTGTTATCCCAAACAGAGCTAACCATTTGTAAATGTGAGTCATCTGAAAATACTATTGGTCAGCTTGTTTAAGATATATGGCTGTAACTTTACAGAACAATCTGAAAAAGATTAGTAATTTGTTTTATGATTTCTGTCAACTGAGAACACAGAATAATCACCCAATTTAATTGTTTGTTTGTTTTTGGAGACAGGGTCTTGGTCTGTCACCCAAGCTGGAGTGCAGTGCCACATGCAACATCTGCTTCCTTGGTTCAAGGGATCCTCCTATCTCAGCTTCCCAGTAGCTGGGACTATAGGCGCGTATCAGCAGGCCTGGCTACTTTTTGTATTTTTTGTAAAGACAGGGTTTCATTCTATTTCCCAGGCTGGTCTCCAACTCCTGGTCTCAAGTGATCCACCCGCCTCACCCTCCCAAAGTGTTGGGATTACAGGCGTGAGCCACCACGCCTGGCCCCATTATTTTTAGAATAGTGAGAGTTTCCATATGACTGCAATAGTTACATCATGAACAAAAGAACATCAAAAAATATTTTGGATATTTTTTTAAGTGTTATTATGTTGAATGTAGTTTCACAGAAGTTAGTAAATATGACCTCCCACTGTGTTCTTGTGATAGAATTAATGACAAACTTTTTCAAAAGTTAGTACATAAATAGGTTGAGTACATTATCCAGCAAAGATGGACTTTAGACTTAAAAGTTTAAAATCTTCGAAGACATAGTAAGAAACACTGGCAACAAATACACAGGACTGATAAATTCCTGTGGCTTAAACACAGACATTTCAATGCTTTGCTGGATTAGCTGAATGTTGTTTATAACGGTTGGTTGTCTTACATACAGAATAGGAAGTTTGATGATGGTGTGAAGCCAAAGTGATAAAAGTAAATTTTAACTGATAATCCCTATTGATGTTAGCATTCCAAATACGGTTTTTAATGTCACTTAAATACAAAAATCCTAAACTTGCTAACCAGGCACATTTTAAAAGGCAATGTATTAACTATATTATTTTCCAAAGCGTTAGCCAAACAGACATATTTCCATTTCTTATGCCTTTACAGAAGACTGTATCACAGAAGACTTACATTCCATTAAATCATGTGATATATAGTTTTATCTGCTATATATATCTATTGCATCAAACGACTGTGGGAGGCTTAAGTCATGCTTAATATGATTAACTTTCTAGCTTTTGCTTGCAAACGAGTATAGACTGAAAATCATTTTCTTTTCCACTTTTAAATAGGCTTTGTCAAGTCATTCAAAGGAAAATCATCAGCTCAGCTCTCTGAAGTCTTGGAACAAACTGTTAGTCTTTTTAATTCACATCATAATCAACCCCAAAACTTTCAGTAGTTCTTTCAACTATTTAAATATGAGTTACACACCTGTATGATTTGATTACTCTGTTCATTCCAAATTGTGTTTTTGGGGAAATTATTTTAAAAAAATAACTTGTTCCATGTTACTAATCTGAGATTGGGATCAATTTCCAGAAATAAAAACAAGCTTTTGCTTAAGCTTTACAAAACAAACTCTATAAATGAAAATGAAATAACATTATTTTTTTCAATTAATATTGATAGAAGAAATAAAGGGCTACAAACCAAGGTTTTTCAAATATTTAGAAAATATGTGGTGATGAAATAAGATTCTAACCCAAGGCTAATAATTTTAAATAAAATCCATCATGTCATGACCTTATCAACGTTTGGAATTACTAAACGACTGTTTTCAATTATAACCCTGAAGAAAATTGTAGTAAGTTGATTGCAATAATAACCCCAATAATTTTCTCCTCCCAGTATTCATTTTCCTTTGCAATGTCACTGCATCATCTTTCATCAAGAGGTGGAGTCTAATCTCCTACCCATAGATCTGTGCTAGTTTTGTGACTTGCTTTGATCAATAAAATGTGACAGAAGTGATAATGCACCAGTTTTGCGCGTTGGCCTGAAGAGGCCTTCTGTGCTTCTGTCCCTCCTCTTGAAACTGCCAAAACCCAGAGATCAAGCCCCTTAATAGTATGCTGGAATATGAGAGACAAGCGAGTGCAGAGCTGAATCAGCCTAATTTTCCCAGCCAAGGCCCTAGACGTGTAAACAAGGTCAGCCAAAATAAGTAAGATCAATAATGGTACTGAATTAACCTGTGGCTTACTGCAGATGCATGAGTGAGCTGTACTGAGCCCACCTGATATCAGCAGAACCATCCAGCAGACTCATGCACAAGTGAGCATAAAATGAATGTTTATGATGCTGTATGCACCTGCATTTTTTTGGTTGGTTGTTACATAGCATCAGTGCAGCAGTAGATAACTGATACAAAGACTACCTATTGTTCTCAAAGTATTCAACGTTAAGTTCTACACCAAGGTTGGCAAATGTTTTCTGGAAAGCATCAGATAGTAAAAATTTTGGATTTTGTAGGCCAAATGCAGCCTCTGTTGCATATTCCTTATTGTCTTCTTTTTTCTTTTCACAACACCTTACAAATATAAAAAACATTCTTAATTTGGGGTCTGTAAATAAAAGGCTGCTGGCCAGATTTGGGCAATGGGCCATAATTTGCTGACCTCTTTTTATATTATGCAAAGATATGACATTGCTAACGTGATATAGAATAAAAGATGTCAGAGCTCAGGATGCAACAGAAAATAGAGCAAATTAATGCAATAAAATCATATAATTTTAAAAATAGAATTATATTAGTATTTTCATTTCTAATTTTCCATGTTTAGCTTCAGTGGTATGCTGGTAAAAGTTTAATATCCAGCTACTAGTTGGGAATAAATACTACCACCAGGGCCAATTTGAAGTTACCAGTGGAGTGGAACTGAGAAGAGATATATACAAGAGCTGATTCTAGCACACCGTTGTTGTACTGCTTACCTATTTTATTATCCATAACATAGTTCATCCATAATTATAAAAGAAACTGGTTATAATTCAGATAATGTGTTTTTGTTACACTAACTCACTCTTTTCTCTTAGCTCACTTTACTGGTCCCAGTAAGTTTTGGTTTTGTGACCATTATCCTGGAAAAGATTACTATCTTTGCAGTTGCCCTCCTCTGTAAGTGATTTGAATTCCATTTATCTATGAACTATTTTCAAAGAAAATCAATTTATGACAAACTTACCTGTATTGGTTTGATCATCTCTAGTGGAAGAAGAGGAAACTGTCTTGTTTTCAGGCATAGTTATCAGAATATTTTAAAACCTAATTAGAAAGAAAAATATTTAAATATCATGAATCTAAATTAGTTTGTATTTAATTTTACTAAAAATTTGCAATTCAAGAACTGACTGTCAGGAAAAATTTCTACTATAAAAGATATGAGATATATAATATATATATTCTTATATATATATTCTTATATATATTATGTATCAGTACTAAATTATATGTAAAATGTAAGGAAGTCCAACAATGTACTCTTTTTCTTATTAGGACTATTATGATCTCATTCAGAAATATCAAATATAAAAATCTTCATTAAAGAGGGATCTTTGATCTTCTACTTTGCTGGTGACTTAAACCAATACCTAGGCTGACCATGAGATAATTTAGCATTGGCAATTGCAGCTATGGGTTCAAAGCCCTGGGGAGATTCTAGAACCTACGATGTTTTCATTTCATATAATAAAAGCTTAACTTTACTACCATCTCTTCTTTACCTTCCTTCAGTTCCTTTTCAAAATATTTTAAGAGTAGAGCAAAAAGTGCAATGGATTTCTATATGTCCATTAACCAGTTTCACCAATTATCAATTTGTGGTCAATTCTGAATTCTATACACCCACCAACTGCCCTGTCTCCCCTACTTCTGATAATGGTTAAGCAAATCACAAGTATCATATTATTGTATCTGTAAATACTTCAAAAATTTTTTAAACATAGCTATAATACCAATAATATAATTAACACAATTAATGATATTTTAATATCACTAAACATCTTTTGTGTTCACATTTTTGTCTCATATTTTCTGTTTTTAAGAATGGTTTAAAGTAATAATACAAACAAGGTCCGTACATAGCATTTAAGTGTAATGTCTCTTAATTATCTTTTAGTCTATGTGTTCTCTGTTCCATTTTTTTCTCACTGTACTTTACCTATGTAAATATCAAATATTTTGTCCTATACATTTTTCTACATCGCTGGCAACCTCCCTGTGCTGTATTTAACAAGTTTCTCTGTTCCCTATAATTCCTGCAAATTGGTATTAACTAGAAACTTAAAGTGCTGAACAGAAAGAAAATAATTCTATAAACACAGAAATAACATGAGAAATAAAAATTGTCTCATTTAATTTGCAGATCTAAATCATTATAGAGTTTAGAGACTGGAAATCATCTAATTTATTTTTTGTTTGTTTGTTTTACAAGTCAGAAAACCTTGACTGAAATTAGTAAATTAATGCAATGAAAAAAGACTTCTTAGACAAAAGTGCTATGAAAGAAAACCCTAAATCCAAGCCTAGTGCTCTTCCAAATAAACCACTCTACCTCATAAAGACTAACTTTTAAAGAAAAGTAAGCTATAGAAAAGAGCATAACTAAATGCTGAAAGAACATAACAGTGTTTTATGGACATTAACTTTTTTAATTCAATGAAGATTATAGTTGAAACATATAATTTTATATCCTCTACTACACAAAATTACCAGAAAAATTAAATAATATTAATAAGAAAATTAATTCCTCCAGTTAAGATAGAACTGGGTATATTGGAAAAAAAGTGCTTCTACTATTATTTAAAAATCTGGTTGAAATATAATTTTTGAATCTTCAAAAAAGCATCTAAGAATTAGCAAAGTAATAAGGAATACATAGTTCCAGATCTAATAGAAGTCAAAAATCCAGAGAAGTGAGACTAACATTTTAGGCCACTTTTTCCCTTGGGGCAACATCTGACCCAAGAGAGGCAACTGAGACATTGGGCAGTACTTGTGAGGGCCACACAAAACTTTGGAAACACAAGATGGAATCCAGACTCTGCCAAGTGTAGGTGCCCTGAGAAATTAACCCATTCCTAGGACTGAGACCCCAAAAGTCTGTATTTTAAGAAACAGAATGAAACAGAAATAAAGTCTATGAGATGACTGCCCATAGACTGAAGCCCAGCCTCAAAATTACCTGGGTAATTCCAAACTTCAGTAAGGCCATTCTTGCCCATTTTGTGTGTTCACTCAAAGGTCACTCAACACACAAAATGACTACATAACCAAAATCAACAGAAACAAAAGAAAACATAAACTAATCCAAAGTTACTCTAAATAGTAAAATTACCAGATAATATATCACTAGACAACTTTGTTTAACATCTTTATAAATCAATCACGTTTATAACATCAAATTTTAAAATGTCAGAACTAAAAATAATAAAAATTAATATTGTAAATTTGAAAAGCAGCCAGTAAATTATGCTGCTATAAAGACACATGCACACGTATGTTTATTGCAGCACTATTCACAATAGCAAAGACTTGGAATCAACCCAAATGTCCATCAGTGACAGATTGGATTAAGAAAATGTGGCACATATACACCATGGAATACTATGCAGCCATAAAAAAGGATGAGTTTGTGTCCTTTGTAGGGACATGGATGCAGCTGGAAACCATCATTCTTAGCAAACTATCACAAGAACAGAAAACCAAACACCGCATGTTCTCACTCATAGGTGGAAACTGAACAATGAGATCACTTGGACTCGGGAAGGGGAACATCACACACCGGGGCTTGTCATGGGGAGGGGGGAGGGGGGAGGGATTGCATTGGGAGTTATACCTGATGTAAATGACGAGTTGATGGGTGCAGCACACCAACATGGCACAAGTATACATATGTAACAAACCTGCACGTTATGCACATGTACCCTACAACTTAAAGTATAATAATAATAAATAAATTAAAAAAAAAATCTGTGAACTGACAACTGCCATAATTGCAATTCTAAACTCCCTGGTTTAATTTTAATGTAGCTGTGACTAGGCTGAAGAAGGAATCAGTAAAGCAAATTTAGAAAAAAAAAAACTACCTTGAATAAAGCATCCAGTTACATAAGAACAGAACAGAGCCCTCACATCTACACATCTACAACCATCTGATCTTTGACAAACCTGACAAAAACAAGAAATGGGGAGAGGATTCCCTATTTAATAAATGGTGCTGGGAAAACTGGCTAGCCATATGTAGAAAGCTGAAACTGGATCCCTTCCTTACACCTTATATAAAAATTAATTCAAGATGGATCAAAGACTTAAATGTTAGACCTAAAACCATAAAAACCCTAAAAGAAAACCTAGGCAATACCATTCAGGACACAGGCATGGGCAAGGACTTCATGTCTAAAACACCAAAGGCAATAGCAACAAAAGCCAAAATTGGCAAATGAGATCTAATTAAACTAAAGAACTTCTGCACAGCAAAAGAAACTACCATCAGAGTGAACAGGAAACCTACAGAATGGGAGAAAATTTTTGCAATCTACTCATCTGATAAAGGGCTAACATCCAGAATCTACAAAGCACTCAAACAAATTTACAAGAAAAAACCAAACAACCCATCAAAAAGTGGTCAAAGGATATGAACAGACACTTCTCAAAAGAAGACATTTATGCAGCCAACAGACACATGAAAAAATGCTCATCATCGCTGGCCATCAGAGAAATGCAAATGAGATCAAAACCACAATGAGATACCATCTCACACCAGTTAGAATGGTAATCATTAAAAAGTCAGGAAACAACAGGTGCTGGAGAGGATGTGGAGAAATAGGAACACTTTTACACTGTTGATGGGATGGTAAACTAGTTCAACCATTGTGGAAGACAGTGTAGCAATTCCTCAAGGATCTAGAACTAGAAATACCATTTGACCCAGTCATCTCATTACTGGGTATATACCCAAAGGATTATAAATCATGCTGCTGTACAGACACGTGCACACATTATGTTTATTGTGGTGCTATTCCCAATAGCAAAGACTTGGAACCAACCGTCCATCAATGATAGACTGGATTAAGAAAATGTGGCACATATACACCATGGAATACTATGCAGCCATAAAAAAGGATGAGTGCATGTCCTTTGCAGGGATGTGGATGAAGCTGGAAACCATCATTCTCAGCAAACTATCACAACCACAAAAATCCAACCACCACATGTTCTCACTCATAGGTGGGAACTGAAAAATGAGAACACTTGGACACAGGATGGGGAACATCACACAACGGGGCCTGTCCTGGGGTGGGTGGAGTGGGAGATAGCATTAGGAGATATACCTGATGTAAATGACAAGTTAATGGGTGCAGCACACCAACATGGCACATGTATACATATGTAACAAACCTGCATGCTGTGCACATGTACCCTAGAATTTAAAGTATTTTTAAAAAAAATTCACAAGCAAGCATAAGTTCAACACTCCTGGCCTCTACTTTTGGGAAGATGGAATAGATACACTTTTACTTATTCCCTCCTGTAAGTACAAGAAAAAACTCTGGGTGCATTATATATAAAATCAACATAAGAAGACTGAAAGGTGTAGAGAAGAAGGCACACTGGCTAGGAGACTTGTTACCAGAGAAATAAGGAGGTAGTAAATTTCGGAGATTTTCTCTATGCTTTGTATATTTCAAACGTGAAGTAGACGAGACCAGCAACCCAGAAATGCCAGCGGGTATAGACAAAATAAAGCTCCAACGAAAGCCTGTTTTCTTTAGCCAAGACACCAGTAAAAGGGCGGCTTAGTAAGAGAGAATACATTAAGACAATAACATCTCTACTACACATCAGAAAAAAACTGACCTGGTCGGGCGCGGTGGCTCACGCCTGTAATCCCAGCACTTTGGGAGACCGAGGCGGGTGGATCACAAGACCATCCTGACTAACACGGCGAAACCCCATCTCTACTAAAAATATGAAAAAAGCCGGGCATGGTGGCGGGGCGCCTGTAGTCCCAGCTACTCGGGAGGCTGAGGCAGGAGAATGGCGTGAACCTGGGAGGCAGAGCTTGCAGTGAGCCCAGATCGCGCCACTGCACTCCAGTCTGGGCAACAGTCAAGACTCCGTCTCAAACAAAACAAAACAAAATTAAAAAAAAAAAAAAAAAAAAAAAAACAAGGGAAAAAACTGCCCCCACAAAGACTGAATCAGAAGCCTAGACTATATCTACCCTGGATAGGCTATAATAAGGACCCCAAATTTCCTACTGG